CTTAGCAATATGTCTAATACTGAGAAATAAAAACAGAGAAGCCTAATAGCTAACTGAATATCACATTTCCTGCACAATGCAGTTCAGATGCAGAGCTCAAGAGAAATGCCTATCAGAAAGAGATATGAATGTTTAATGAAAGAAATTGACCCATTGTTCTATCAGGAAATTAGAATTCACTGGATTTGACATTTACACACATGCAACTATATTTACGCATCATAGGCAGGTTATTGAGGCCTGTAAGTTTAATGCCATAAGGTGCTGTGGTCTAAACCACTGAGCCTACGGCTTGATGATCAGAAGGTTGGTGGTTCGAATCCCTGCGACGGGGTGAGCTCCCGTTCTTCTGTCCCTGCTCCTGCCAACCTAGCAATTTGAAAGCACGTCAAAGTGCAAGTAGATAAATAGGGACCGCTCCGGCAGGAAGGTAAACGGCGTTTCCGTGCGCTGCTCTGGTTTGTCAGAAGCGGCTTAGTCATGCTGGCGACGTGACCTGGAAGCTGCCTTGGCCAATAAAGCGAGATGAGCGTCGCAAACCCAGAGTCGTCCGCGACTGGACGGACCTAATGGTTAGGGGTCCCTTTACCTTTACCTTTAAGTTTAATGCCAGGCATCCTAAAATCTGTAATTGGATACCAGCTCTTACAAACACTATGAAGTTTGAAAGGGGAAGTGTGTCCATCTTAACAGTACACTGCCCTCTGGTGGCAGCCTGGAAACACAGCATCAGTCAAACGCCAGGTTTTGGCAACTTTGTGCCTTCCATGCTGGCTGGGACTGGTGGGGAAAGAATCTGGAGGGCACCAGGTTGGGGAAGCCAGAGGCATACAGCAGTTTCCTTCAAATGATCTGTGCAGAGCCAAAACACTGCCCCACTTTTGCAGGCAATGGAATTGGGGCAGCATTTGTGGCAATATTCTGAGTGAGGAATTCTTAGCAAAAAATCAGTTTTGGAGGGTAATTATCACGGGGAAAGTAGCTTTTTATTTGGGCCATTACTTTAAGTAGGGGAATGAAGAAAGACCACTGTTCTTTTCTGAAATCTTGGGCGGGTGGAGAGAGTGTTTTCCGTGTAGTTTTCCATGGGTTAGTTGTGATGCAGCACTCATTCAGAAACGATGTTTGCTATTCTCTTATGGATCTAAGAGCATTAAACGTGACATTTGCATTATTTTACAAGGGAGATGGAACTGGTTAAGCTAGCTGGGGTGGTGGTGGTGGTGGGAGAGAAGATCCTGGACTGCATTAGAAATTCATAGGATTTTTTCTTCACACACACTTATGAGACCCAAGTTCAGCTAATGATTCGTAACTTTGGATAATCAGATGATCAAATGATTATACCTCCAACCTCCATTGTGAAGAGATGGGAAACCAATTAAATATTCTTTAAGGGATCCTCAATGAATCAATTTTAACTTAACCGCTACTCCTCTAATGTACGGACAACCTGTAATGACTCCAGATTTGGCGTTGGGATAGCCTTAGCAAAGCCAGCCTCTGAGCAATCCTAGTTCACCTTTGCCTCCATCATGACTGCCCTTCTCCTTACCCTCTGACTGCATCGATTAGAAGAGCAGCATTAGCCAACTTGGTTTTATCCAGGTGTTGTTGGACCACAGCTGAATAAAATATCATGTATATACAGCCTAACATACCTGCCAACATTTCTCCGATGGAAATAGGGGGGAAGCATATCTCCTACTATATCTGAATGGATTGAGAAAATTTGGTCCATTGTTACTACAACTAAGCTACACTTATTGCAAAATAATTCATATAAACCAGCCTAACGCGTTTATGGGGAAATGGGCATTTTGGAGCAATGTTTTGGAACAACAAGCTCAAGGATAATGCCCAACCTTAAGTTGCTTCCAATCTGCTGCAATTGTATTTATTTATGTCCTTTTATCTTTGGTTTAAAGGGACGCAGGTGGCGCTGTGGTCTAACCCACAGAGCCTAGGGCTTGCCGATCAGAAGGTCAGCCTGTTCGAATCCCCGCAACAGGGTGGGCTCCCGTTGCTCGGTCCCTGCTCCTGCCAACCTAGCAGTTTGAAAGCACATCAAAGTGCAAGTAGATAAATAGGTACCACTTGGGCGGGAAGGTAAACGGCGTTTCCGTGCACTGCTCTGGTTCGCCAGAAGCGACTTAGTCATGCTGGCTGTACACCGGCTCCCTCGGCCAATGAAGCGAGATGAGTGCCACAACCCCAGAGTCTGTCATGACTGGACCTAATGGTCAGGGGTCCCTTTACCTTTATCTTTATTCCATAATAATGATAACAACAACAATTTTTATTGTTTTATTATTTTAGTAATATTGTTTAATAAATTTTATACCCCACCCATCTCACTGGGTTGCCACTCTGGGTGGCTTCCAACATATATAAAACTTAATAATATATTGAACATTTAAAAAAATAAATTATTTTTTAAAAACCTTCCCCATACAGGGCTGCCTTCAGTTGTCTTCAAAAGGTTGTATCTCCCTGTCTCGGGGTTGCATAACTCCATACCCTCCAACATTTCTCCGAAAAAAACAGGGACTTCAGACCTCCAACATTTCTCTGATGAAAATAGGGACATCCTAAGGAAAAGCAGGACATTCTGGGATCAAACCAGAAACAGGGGCGGCTTCTGTAAATCCGAGACTGTCCCTGAAAAATAGGGACCTTTGGACGGTCTGGAAGGCAAACTATTGCTCCATCTGCTCCGTATTATCTCACAATGGTTCTTGATATTTGTCTACAAATATGTTGTTCTCAGAAAAATGTTTGTTCTTTGTTGGCCCAAATTGCAAGCACAAGGCTCTTTCAATATGCTGAGGAAGCATTGCTTTCTTCCTCCACAAATCAGGAATTTTTGCTCAGAAAATCACCAAAATTACACAAGAGAACATATAGCCAAAATTCAGCAGCATGAAGAAATACCTCTGTCCTTTTCAGAAATCGGGGGGGGGGGGGCGCAGCGGGCGGGAATGAGTAGTTTTGAGTGGGTCAGGAAACTATGTTTGCTGTTCTTTTATGGAGCATTAAACGTGACATTTGCATTGTTTTACAAGGGAGATGGAATCTGTTAAACTGGGAACGGGGGAAAAGATCCCAGATTGCATTACAGATTCATAGGATTCTTCATTTCACACACAATCATCAGACCCTAGTTCAATTAATGATTCATAACTTTGGATAATCAGATGATCAAATGTTTATACCACAAACCTCCATCGTGAAGAGACGAGGCACCAATTAAACATCCTTTAAGGGATCCTCAATGAGTCAGTTCACTCTGAGTAACTCTAACTTGCCAATGTGTGGACAACCTGTAATAGCTCCAGACTTGAGGCTGGGATAATCTTGGTGAAGTCAATCTCCGTAGGCCCAATATATCACCAATCCTACCTCCCCCTTGCCTCCAGCACCACTGCCCAGGGCTGGATTTAGGTTTGATGAGACCCTAAGCTACTGAAGGTAATGGGGCCCTTTATATGTCCAGCTGTCCTTTGTCAACAACAAATTGTCACTGTTTTTTGTGTTGAATATATGCTACATTTATGGACCTAATAGGTATCTAAAGCTATTAGTACATAACAAAATATGTATATTTTGGAAATGTACATCCAGTTTTTTTCCTTTAATTTTTTTGGGAGCCCCCAAGAGTGTGGGGCCCTAAGCTATAGCTTGCTTAGCTTATACGTAAATCTGACACTGCCACTGCCCTTCCCTTCACCCTCTGAGTCCAATCGGTACGTCTGTTAGAGGGAGAGCATTAGCCAAAGTGGGTTTATCTCGGTGTCACTGGACCACAGCTGTCATCAGTGGCAGCCAGCAAGGGATGATGGAAGTCATAGTATGACATTTGGAAATCACCACATTGGCTACCCAATTGTTTGGTACCGGTTGTAAGAGCCTCCTCCATGGATCCTTGATTTTAAAAGGCAGCCTTTTTAGAAACTTTCTCACTGTCTGAAAAGATTTCAAGCCTTCCTGGCAACCAAGGTGATGATCAGCTTGAATCTGGATGAATATCGTCTAGCAAAATGGCAAAATAGGGTAGTGTTTGTCTGTAGGGGCTTCATTATCTTGCAGCTTTTTTCTTCCCCTCACAGCTTGCAGAAAATTGGCATACAAAGTTCTAGGTTATATATAACAACACCAGGACCATAGTCCAGAACCTGATTGGCAGCCATTGTGGATTCCTCTGCACAGGTGAATTTTGCAGGTCTAGGTACAGAGAAGCCTCACATTGAGCACATTACCATTGTCCAAAATCCTGTGCTTTTCGTGGAATTATTTGGGAATACTGTCTGTTCTACCTTTAACGGGGTCACGGAAGAAAAAAAAAACAGTTTATATACAGTCATACCTCGAGTTACAGTAGCTTCAGCTTGCGTTTTTTTGGGTTGCGGACTGCCGAAACCCAGAAGTACCGGAACAGGTTACTTCCGGGTTTTGGCAGTCGCGCATGCGCAGAAGTGCTAAATTGTGCTTTGCGCATGTGCAGAAGCGCTGAATCGCAACCTGCACGTGCGCAGACGCGGGTTGCGAACGCTGCGGGTTGCGAACGTGCATCCTGCACGCATCACGTTCGCAACCCGAGTGTCCACTGTATAATGTCATTGTCCCCTCTTGTAGCCTGTAGGAGACAGATCAGAAGAATACCCGGAGCATCTCTGTACTGCCAAATGATACCACTTTTATATTCGTTCAGCTGCCACTATGGCTTCCCCTGAGGAATCTTGGGAACTTTCTGATGCGCCAAGAATTCTCTGCTGAAGACTCCTAGCCCATAAACAGTTGTTTCATCTTTACAGGACTCCCCTGGGAGGTGGAATGTTTGCTGAATTGGTAATTAAATAGGCCTTGGACACAATCTACCTGTTCCTCAACATGAAAAGCCAGAAAAACAAGAGTCTTTGCTTGTTTATGAGAGGATGCTTTGTGGCCCCTCCATTCCAAAGCTATATGCCAAAGGATATATAAATGCCCACCTTGGCCATCTCTCATCAGCTGACTGAGGAGCAGTTGCTAACAGCACCATGAGGTTGACCAGCATTTCCATCTTCCTTGGCTTCTTCATCCTGTGCCAAGTGGCGCCATCCACTTGTGCCACAACGGAGGCACGTCCTTTTTTTGGCAGTAAGTCTTGAGGGGAACTGCTCAGAAAGGTCTTGTTGTGCTGGGGCTCCCAAATGGGCTTTGTGAGGGTTTACTTCCTAACACGTAAGCAGCTGGAGATAATGCAGTTCTCCTGCACTGCTTGTCTGTTTCATTATACAGTTTTAATTCATGCCCATTGTTTTAATATTTCTATGCAAACTGCTTTGTGACTTTCTCCAGAAAAGTGGGAGATGGATCTATTTAAAGAGATTAGCAACTTAAATGTGAGGAGAAGATGGACAGTATTTGCTGATAATATATTTGAATCCTAGTAGTACATTTGTTTTTGTTTTTTTAATAATATTTTATTGAGTTTTCTGAAAAAAGAAAATAGCCAAACATATATCAAACACAAAGGACATAACTATCAACTATATATAAAAGGAGAAAAGAAAAGAAAATGAGAAGCACAGTTTTTCATACCTATTTTCCATAACCATCTAGACTTCCTCACGTTTCCCTTTCCTGCGTTCTTAATGTAAAAGTTATGTTCAGCAATTTATTACCTTCTTTCAAATCTTATATTCTAATTCTAATATGTTATGCCTCTGGTTTTAAATGTTTCCATCAAATATTTAACTACTTAATTTAGGCATAACTTTACTTCAAGTCTCATCAAATCTCATCTTTATATTTCAGGTTATTCTCATACATATCTCATCTAGGCTGCTGTTGCCATGATCTTTCCTTTCATGCACCTTCTTAACATTCATACAATTTATATACTTTTTGTAAATAGTCTTTAAACTTCTTCCAGTCCTCTTCCACCTCCTCTTTTCCCAGGTCTCGGATTCTGCCAGTCATCTCGCCTAGTAGTACATTTGAGTCCCCACAAATAATAGCTATGCAACTTTGAGATTGCAGGTGTGTGTCTTTCTTATCCTTTGGATGAAACCAGCTGACCCCAAAGTAAATCCAAGAGGTCAGAAACATGATGGGGAAAATATATAATTTTATTTTTCTTTTCACTGCCAAGGTCTTTTCTCCATTTGTCTCTGCACCTTCTCCCTTCTTTTGTTCTCTTGGAAAAATGCTCCTTACTATTCCTGCACTCTCACTGTTGTCACTGAAATTCTTCCTTTTTCCATTTTTTAAGTTAAACTTGGGGATTGTCCTCACAATGATGCCATCTGCCATGGGAAACCTGTTGGGAACCGGTGCTTGAACGACACCCAGTGCCCAAGTTCACTGAAATGCTGCCCAGGCCCCTGCGGCAAAACCTGCCTCCAGCCTGTGAATGGTATGGTGTTCCAGTTCCTGCCTCTAGGGGGGTATTGTGGGCATATGTTGGGGGTGGGGGGTGGCAACCTATGTGCACGTCTGGGATGCTTGTGAGTTGTGTGATGTGGAGTGCAGAGTGTGTTCTAATCCTCCGCGTCCCTTTGTTTATCTGGCCTTCCTGTTGCTGCGTGTAGCTGCTTGATTGGTGGGTTGCGTTGTGGATGTGCCTGGGGCATTCTGGTTGGCTGCCACACTACGTGCACCATCCCCTGTCCGTTGCATTCCTGTGCAGTTGATCACACACTGTTTTCTCATGAGCTGTGTCCAAACTTGCAGTTCGTACACACCCAATAAGGGCGTTTGGGAGGCAGGGTTATGCAAATGATGAAGGCAGCTCCCCCTCCCCCACTGGCTTTTGGGGTGCGGGAGAACCCCCTGGACAGCATCAGAGGAGGAGAGCAGGGATCATTCCTCCCTGGATAATGCAGATCCTTACAACACTGCAGGAGTCTCATATCTGCAGCACAACCTTGTTTTGTCTGATATCTTCAATTTTCTCTATTGCAGTGAAACCGGATCACTGTCCACCGGATACTGAACAAGATGTTAAGAATTTTAATTACTGCAATAAAGATGATGATTGTAAAGGAAAACAGAAATGCTGCTTTGCTTTTTGGGGTTCGGAATGTCTCGATACACAGAAAGGTAAGGTATTTTGTATCACTGTACAATGCTTAGGTTTGCTATGCTTTTCTATGGTCAATAGCTACTGGTCATGATATTACTGCAATAATAATAATAATAATAATAATAATAATAATAATAATAATATCATCTTCTGCCAGGTCTTTTTTAATGTGCAAGAGGTCCGGAGGGTGGCAACATGAAAATTGGCCTTTTTTGCAGTGGCTCCCCATTTGTGGGATGCTCTCCCCAGGAAAGTTTGCTTGGTGCCTTCATTATACACCTTTAGGCACCAGGCAAAATAGTTCCTCTTTAACTAGGCTTTGGGGTGATTGTCATCCAATGCCCTTTTAAAACGTGGTGGGGGTTTTTTTTGGGGGGAGGGGTTATTCTGTTATTTCTGTTTTTATTCTGTGTTTTTATATTGTGAACCGCCCTGAGACCTGCGGGTATAGGGTGGTATGCAAATTTAATGATTAATAATAAAACAATACTAAGGATATTTATGGGACACGGGTGGCGCTGTGGGTAAAACCTCAGTGCCTAGGACTTGCCGATCGTATGGTCAGCAGTTCGAATCCCCGCGGCGGGGTGAGCTCCCGTCGTTCGCTCCAGCTCCTGCCCACCTAGCAGTTCAAAAGCACCCCTAAGTGCAAGTAGATAAACAGGTACCACTTTATAGCGGGAAGGTAAACGGCGTTTCCGTGTGCTGCGCTGATGCTGGCTCGCCAGTGCAGCTTCGTCACGCTGGCCACGTGACCCGGAAGTGTCTGCGGACAGCGCTGGCTCCTGGCCTCTTAAGCGAGATGGGCGCACAACCTCAGAGTTGGTCACGATTGGCCCGTACGGGCACAGGTACCTTTACCTTTAAGGATATTTATACCCCGCCCTTTCCCCAGCCACACTGGGTGGCTTCCAGCCAAATGTAAAAACATAATAAAATGTTAGACATTCAAATGGCAGAATGCCTCTCCCAATAGTAGATCATAGAATCGTAGAGTCAGGCAGTGAGGGACCCTCAGATAATGCATCCATGAGAGATGGCCATCCAAACTCTGCTTAATAACCTCCAAGAAAGGAGAGTCCACCACTGTCTCAGGGGAGTTTGCTCTGCTGCTGATGTTGGAGTCCATGAGTGGGAAAGGAGTTTTGTGTCTCTTTCCTGCTTCTCGGCCTCATAGGCACATCTGATTGGCCACTTTGCAAGAGATAGAAGGCTGCACTCGATCATACTTGGTCTGATCCAGCATGCTGGGGACCATGCCAGGTCTGTGGACAGCCTTAACCTATCCATTTCAAGAGTGTATGCTTTCTAGTCTGGGGTCCCGAAGGTCAGTAACTTGAGGAGGCAGCATGAGCCAGAGACGGAGCTCAGGGCATGAAACACGGCTGGCAGATAGTGCTTCACAGCTGGCAAAGCAAGAGCCGAATACCAGGCAAAGCTGGTCCAGAGCATTCATATATACCTGGAGGAGCATCTCCACCCTCATCATTCTGCCCAGACACTGAGGTCCATCTCTGAGGGCCTTCTGGTGGTTCCCTCACTGCAAGATGTGAGGTTATAGGGAACCAGGCAGAGGGCCTTCTCGGTAGTGGCATCCGCCCTGTGGAACACCCTCCCATCAGATGTCAAGGAAATAAACAACTATCTGACTTTTGGAAGACATCTGAAGACAGCCGTTTAGGGAAGTTTTTAATGTTTGATGTTTTATCATGTTTTTTATATTCTGTTGGGAGCCGCCCAGAGCGGCTTGGGAAACCTAGCCAGATGGGCGGGGTATAAATAATAAATTATTAGTATAGTTATTCATGTGGCTTGCCAATTGCATGAAATGATGTTCCACGTCTGCTTGCTAACTTGTGTGTCTAAGAGTCTTTGGAACCTAAAAATGGCATGATTCCAGTTACCTCATTCACTTAGGTCCCTGACAAGGTGCTCCCTAAATGCTAATCTTCAGGGCTTTGAAAAATGAGCCACGTGGCTATGGGTGAATCATTTTATGGGTAGAACATTTTTTTAAAAAGAAAAGTATAATGCTTATGTGTTGTCACCCATCTTTACTACAGAAAAGCCTAAAAACTGCCCTGAAAAAGTTTTCAAATGTCCTAAAATATTGAGGGGTGAGTGTACTCATGACACTCAGTGCAAAGGGGTGAAGAAGTGCTGCTTCTCTGACTGCGCCTTGCGCTGTGTGGATCCAGTATAAAGTACCTGAGACACAGGATGCTTCTGCAGAGAAGGAGACAACTTGTTCCCACGGTCATCCAATGGAACCTCGGCGTGATCCGGCTGAAACACAAATCTTCCAATAAAGTTGTCTAGATCAGAGCTTTGCCATTTGTAATTATTTTATCTCATCATTCTTCTTCTTTTTAGCAATTTATACTAAGCAATGATCTGAGAAACTGAGTCTGCTGCATGGAGCTGAATAGAACCCCAGAAATGGTTAGGGCTTTTAGCCTATTGAAATATACTCAGAGTCGAGAGTGGATTTCATGCTCTTTATTCAGCTCATAGTGGTGAGGAGGAATGGAAGTTCCCCCAGAATGTCTGCTTTATATACATTATTTACACAATGGGCCCCACGTGAATGGCTAATTCCAGGATTCTCCTGTAGGCCAATCAGGTTGCGGATTCACTTCCACTTGGAGCTGGATTGGATGGCTCCTGTGGACCAATCAGACTGCTGCATTCTGGAGCCTATTGTTCTAGGACCAATCAGGCTATTGCATTCTGAATCCTATTGTTCTAGGACCAATCAGACTGCTGCATTCTGGAGCCTATTGTTCTAGGACCAATCAGGCTATTGCATTCTGAATCCTGTTGTTCTAGGACCAATCAGACTGCTGCATTTTGGATCCTATTCCACTCAGTACATAACACCTATGCAATCCAGTTTACAGGCCAACATGGTTCTTGGTTGGTTAGCATCTGTTAGGCACGCCCAACTCCCAAAAGACTGTGATCTACTCCCAGTATTAAAAAAAACTGGCAGTGATCTACCCATTGTCATTGGAGGGAGGAAGAGTTTTATTTAGGGGGGAGAGGCAAAAGAAGTTGTTGAGCTTTTTTGGGGGGGGGCAGAGTTGCTGATCTTCTTTTAGTAGGGGGGAAAGGCTATCCATTAACTACAACACAGACAAGCGCAAAAAAACAACAAGGACAACTAACGTCGGCAGAAGGCTATAAAATATTCATTGTACATTGCTTTTAATCCTGCAATCGATAAGGATCCCGCGATCGGCCACAATCGACCAGGGATCTACCTGTCGATTGTGGTCAACCGGTTGGACATCGCTGTGTTCAGTGTTAACAATGATCATAGCAGGGTCTGGAGTGTGACAATCATATCAAAGGAATGTGGATCATTGTCCACCTTTCTCAGCATTCTGCTCACACAGTGGATAAGAAGATGCCCACAGGAAGCCCACTTGTGTTCCTTGTTGTTGTTGTTGCTTAGTCGTTTAGTCGTGTCCAACTCTTCATGACCTCATGGACCAGAGCACGCCAGGCACTCCTGTCTTCCACTGCCTCCCGCAGTTTGGTCAAACTCATGCTGGTAGCCTCGAGAACACTATCCAACCATCTCGTCCTCTGTCGTCCCCTTCTCCTTATGCCCTTCATCTTTTCCAACATCAGGGTCTTTTCCAGGAAGTCTTCTCTTCTCATGATGTGGCCAAAGTATTGGAGCCTCAGCTTCAGGATCTGTCCTTCCAGTGAGCACTCAGGGCTGATTTCCTTAAGAATGGAGAGGTTTGATCTTCTTGCAGTCCATGGGACTCTCAAGAGTCTCCTCCAGCACCATAATTCAAAAGCATCAATTCTTCGGCAATTGGCCTTCTTTATGGTCCAGCTCTCACTTCCATACACCACTACTGGGAAAACCATGGCTTTAACTATATGGACCTTTGTTGGCAAGGTGATGTCTCTGCTTTTTAAGATGCTGTCTAGGTTTGTCACTGCTTTTCTCCCAAGAAGCAGGCGTCTTTTAATTTCGTGGCTCGGCCTCCTGCCTCTTATCCTCTGTGATCCCAGACCCTCAAAGTGTCCCTATTTTCCAGGACAGTCCTGGATTTATAGAAGCCTTCCCCATTTCTGATTTGATCCCGGAATGTCCCGCTTTCCCTTAGGACGTCCCTATTTTCATCAGAGAAATAATGGAGGGTATGGAGTTATGCAACCCCCAAGCCATCTTACAGCAGCCCTGTATAGGGAAGGTTTTGGTGTGGTTTTTTTTAAAAAAAATGTTTAGTGTTTTATTATGTTTTTATATGTGTTGGAAGTCGCCCAGAGTGGCTGGGGCAACCCAGTCAGATGAGTGGGGTGGAAATAGTAAAATTATTATTATGGAATAGGATGTCCCTATTTTCATCAGGGAAATGTTTGAGGCTATGCAATCCCTTAATTTATGAGTAGGTTGCATTTATGCGCAAATAAACCATATACTGTATCATAAAGGTGAAAATAAGGTCTTACATTTATATATAAAAGATAAATGTTCATAACTGCATATATAAACCACATGTCTGAAACCCCACAGAAAAAGTCCTGAAACCATTTTGTCCCTCCCAAATTGACCTCAAACATTTCTCTGCAAGGTTGAAGAAACATGGAAAAGCCTCCCCATTGTCTTTTTGTTCACAAATCCTGTCCTAAGGGTTTGTCTGTGTATGAATAGGGTGAACCTGTGACCTGGCTCAGGAACTAAGCATTTGTCATTACAAAAGACTGGCCAGGCTCCCCATGGGTATCCAATCAAGTGACCATTAACAGGTAACCTGCCAGACAGGAGATAAACAACGCACTCAGATTTCTGTTGTAGACCGCCTTTTCTGTGACGTAGATATGATGTTTGTGGGTGGTGGTCTTGGGTTACACCCCTTCTGTGATGTATGTATGATGTGTGGAGGGGTGGTCTTGAGCTCCAGGGAAGGCAATTTAAAATGTCTGTATAAGGCCAGGCCCACTTTTGTTCTGGGTCCTCCTCCTTTCCTGCGTGTGAGGGGAGCACCCTGTTGCAACAGTTTCAATAAAGATCAGGTTTACTAGCTGCTTTGCTTCTCAGTATCCTCTGGTTGGCCTCTGTTATTTTCTCCTACCGAAGGAGAACCTACAAAGGACTCTATAAGGGCTCTTGTGTCCCCCATTAGGGAATCAGGGCAGATTTTTGTTTATTACAGAGGCATCACAGACTCTGTTGGATGTGAACAGGCTGCTTGGACGAGTGAAGCCAACCACCTGTCTCCTGGATCCTTGCCCATCCTGGCTTATAAAAGCTACCCGGGAAGGACTGGACGATGGGCTTCGTGGGGTGGTGAATGCTTCCCTCCTTCGTGGGGTGGTGAATGCTGAAAGAGGCGGTGATTAAACCGCTTCTTAAAAAACCATCTTTAGATGCGGCCACGATGGCCAATTATCGCCCAGTCTCAAATCTTCCATTCTTGGGCAAGGTGATTGAGCGAGTGATTGCTGAACAACTCCAGGCATGCCTGGAAGAAGCGGACCATTTGGATCCCTTCCAGTCGGGATTCAGGCCTCATCATGGGACTGAAACTGCCTTGGTCGCGCTGGTTGATGATCTCCGGCGGGCTAGGGACAAAGGTGAGAGCTGTTTCCTAGTTCTGCTGGATCTCTCAGCGGCGTTTGATACCATCGACCATAACATCCTTCTGGACCGTCTTCAGGGGCTGGGAGCTGGAGGCACTGTCATACAGTGGTTCCGCTCCTTCCTCCTGGGCCATGTTCAGAAAGTGGTGGTGGGGGATGAGTGTTCAGACCCCTGGGCTCTCACTTGTGGGGTGCCTCAGGGTTCTGTCCTCTCCCCCATGCTTTTCAACATTTACATGCAGCCACTGGGAGAGATCATCAGGAGGTTTGGGCTGGGTGTTCATCAGTATGCGGATGATGCCCAGCTCTACCTCTCTTTTAAATCAGAACCAGTGAAGGCGGTGAAGGTCCTGTGTGAGTGTCTGAGGCGGTTGGAGGATGGATGGCGGCTAACAGATTGAGGTTGAATCCTGACAAGACAGAAGTACTGTTTTTGGGGGACAGGAGGCGGGCAGGTGTGGAGGATTCCCTGGTCCTGAATGGGGTAACTGTGCCCCTGAAGGACCAGGTGCGCAGCCTGGGAGTCATTTTGGACTCACAGCTGTCCATGGAGGCACAGGTCAAATCTGTATCCAGGGCAGCTGTTTACCAGCTCCATCTGGTACGTAGGCTGAGACCCTATCTGCCTGCGGACTGTGTCGCCAGAGTGGTGCATGCTCTGGTTATCTCCCGCTTGGACTACTGCAATGCGCTCTACGTGGGGCTACCTTTGAAGGTGACCCAGAAACTACAACTAATCCAGAATGCGGCAGCTAGACTAGTGACTGGGAGCGGCCGCCGAGACCATATAAAACCGGTCTTGAAAGACCTACATTGGCTCCCAGTATGTTTCCGAGCACAATTCAAAGTGTTGGTGCTGACCTTTAAAGCCCTAAACGGCCTCAGTCCAGTATATCTGAAGGAGCGTCTCCACCCTCATCATTCTGCCCAGACACTGAGGTCCAGCTCCGAGGGCCTTCTGGCGGTTCCCTCACTGCGAGAGGCCAAGTTACAGGGAACCAGGCAGAGGGCCTTCTCGGTAGTGGCGCCCGCCCTGTGGAACGCCCTCCCATCAGATGTCAAAGCGATAAACAACTACCTGACATTCAAAAGACACCTGAAGGCAGCTCTGTTCAGGGAAGTTTTTAATATGTGACATTTTAGTGTATTTTTCATCTTTGTTGGAAGCCGCCCAGAGTGGCTGGGGAAACCCAGCAAGATGGGCGGGGTACAAATAATAAATTATTATTATTATTATTAATTAATTATTATTATTATTATTATCTGTTATGCCTCATCGTCCCAAAAGGGAGCACAGACCCTGGTCAACATGCCTGCCACCCCTGAAACCTTGCACCTCTCAGGGAGATTGGGGTGGTGTGTTACAATATGTTACCTCTGCCTGAGGCAGTTGTTTCAAAGAGGGCATCTTAAAGCAGTGTTTCCCAACCGGTGTTCCGCGGCACACTAGTGTGCCGTGAGACGTTGCCTGGTGTGCCGTGGGAGGGAGGCGGGCGAGTCGGGCGGCGAGAGGCGGGGCGGCGGCGGCGAGGATCCGCGTCGAGCCGGGGGCGGCTCCGCGGTGGTGGTGCCGAGGTTTCTCTCTCCATTCTCCCCTCACACACACACACAGAAAATAACACAGGATCAGCTGACAGGACCCGGCCAATGGGGCGGCGGCGGGGCAGCGCGCGCAAAAGGGAGGAGCGCGAGACGGCGGCGGCGCAGGGCGGGAGGGCGGCGCATTGTGCGTGCTCAAACCCGCCCTCCGAGGTGCAGAGGGGAGCTGGGCAAGCGCCTTCTTCAACCACGCGCTCGTTTAAAGAGGCAGCGCCCGGGCGGAACAGAACTCTGTGCCTCTCGCCTAGGGATGAAGGCGGGCACCGGCTTAAGCCAGTAGTAGCCTAATAATGCATTAACTTCCGTGGGACTTCCAAGTAAACACAGTAGCCCAGCGCCTCCCTCCCCAAAAGGAGGGGGAATTACAGCAGCGCAGGCGACTCCTGCGTTTCCCCGATATTTAAGGCTGCCATCCCTCGTGCACACTTACGCGGGAGCAAAACCCCGTGAACAAACTAGGGCTTACTCCAGAGTAAATACGGGTAGGATCTGGCTGCAGTTGTACAAGAAGAAGCAATTGATAACGTTTTCGCGCCTTCGGGATTGCCTTCACGCCTTCCTCCTCCCGGGTCCTTGAGAGCGCGGGAAGCGGCAGCGCGAGACCGGCGTTGAGCCTGGTAGGTATTGCGCTTGCCAAGGCAGTCATTTGGGAAATGAAAACTTGCAAAGCAAGCAACCAGTTCAATCTGAAGTACGTGTATGCTTAATATCCTGTATCTGAAACCTGTTCTGCCCCCTCCCCCACACTTGGTGCCATTTTCATCTACACATGCAGCAGAGTAAGTTGACCCAGAATAGTACCAATTCAGATGGGAGAATGACAGTGCTGAATGCTTTCCCATGTAGAACAGTCCCTGCAAATAAAAACCTAGCATATTTGGAAGAGGGATGCTAGCCTAACCATTACCTTCTATGCTGTTACTATTTTTTTATTTTTTTTTACATAAGTAAAAAGTGTCCTTTCCCCATCTGGCATGGTGGTGTGCCTCGAGATTTTTTTCATGAAACAAGTGTGCCTTTGCCCAAAAAAGGTTGGGAAACACTGTCTTAAAGGCTAAGTCAAATAGATACAGCAAGAGGAAGTTCTAAGACTCACTGACAAACAACTGTACAATGTTTCAGGTAGGAGGGTTTGGACAGCTCACCAAGTTGCCACCAGAGGGAAGTATGGAGCTAAAATGTATTAACATCTTGCAAAACTTTAATTCTCCAGAGTTTTATAGTTTGGGAAACGCCACTTTAGAGGTCCCATTTTCTGAGTAGTGTAGGTGTGACTCATCTTATTAAGTGCAGGCACAGTTCAAGGCCCTTGGTGCTCACATGCCATTATTTTTAGATCGAGGAACAGTATTCTAATCACGTCTGGGTTGAGCTAGAGACTGTTGCTTTGAGCACTTACCTTTCAGCAGATACATTACTGCATGAAACAAAAAGAAGACCGTTCTACACCCCCCCCCCCGGGAGCCTTTGACGTTCATTTCTGGGCCTGAACCCAACAATGTTTGTCAGCAGCAAAGGTCTTCTGGTTACATCTGGATTGGGCCACAAAAACTCTGTTGCTCTCAGCACCTCACTGTTGCCAGTTCTAAGGTGTGACAGGACAAACATGAATCTTTTCAACATGAAAAGCCAGAAAAACAAGAGTCTTGGCTTGTTTATGAGAGGATGCTTTGTGGCCCCTCCATTCCAAAGCTATATGCCAAAGGAGATATAAATGCCCACCTTGGCCATCTCTCATCAGCCGACTGAGGAGCAGTTGCTAACAGCACCATGAGGTCGACCAGCATTTCCATCTTCCTTGGCTTCTTCATCCTGTGCCAAGTGGCGCCATCCACTTGTGCCACAACGGAGGCACGTCCTTTTTTTGGCAGTAAGTCTTGAGGGGAACTGCTCAGAAAGGTCTTGTTGTGTTGGGGCTCCCAAATGGGCTTTGTGAGGGTTTACTTCCTAACACGTAAGCAGCTGGAGATAATGCAGTTCTCCTGCACTGCTTGTCTGTTTCATTATACAGTTTTAATTCATGCCCATTGTTTTAATATTTCTATGCAAACTGCTTTGTGACTTTCTCCAGAAAAGTGGGAGATGGATCTATTTAAAGAGATTAGCAACTTAAATGTGAGGAGAAGATGGACAGTATTTGCTGATAATATATTTGAATCCTAGTAGTACATTTGTTTTTGTTTTTTTAATAATATTTTATTGAGTTTTCTGAAAAAAGAAAATAGCCAAACATATATCAAACACAAAGGACATAACTATCAACTATATATAAAAGGAGAAAAGAAAAGAAAATGAGAAGCACAGTTTTTCATACCTATTTTCCATAACCATCTAGACTTCCTCACGTTTCCCTTTCCTGCGTTCTTAATGTAAAAGTTATGTTCAGCAATTTATTACCTTCTTTCAAATCTTATATTCTAATTCTAATATGTTATGCCTCTGGTTTTAAATGTTTCCATCAAATATTTAACTACTTAATTTAGGCATAACTTTACTTCAAGTCTCATCAAATCTCATCTTTATATTTCAGGTTATTCTCATACATATCTCATCTAGGCTGCTGTTGCCATGATCTTTCCTTTCATGCACCTTCTTAACATTCATACAATTTATATACTTTTTGTAAATAGTCTTTAAACTTCTTCCAGTCCTCTTCCACCTCCTCTTTTCCCAGGTCTCGGATTCTGCCAGTCATCTCGCCTAGTAGTACATTTGAGTCCCCACAAATAATAGCTATGCAACTTTGAGATTGCAGGTGTGTGTCTTTCTTATCCTTTGGATGAAACCAGCTGACCCCAAAGTAAATCCAAGAGGTCAGAAACATGATGGGGAAAATATATAATTTTATTTTTCTTTTCACTGCCAAGGTCTTTTCTCCATTTGTCTCTGCACCTTCTCCCTTCTTTTGTTCTCTTGGAAAAATGCTCCTTACTATTCCTGCACTCTCACTGTTGTCACTGAAATTCTTCCTTTTTCCATTTTTTAAGTTAAACTTGGGGATTGTCCTCACAATGATGCCATCTGCCATGGGAAACCTGTTGGGAACCGGTGCTTGAACGACACCCAGTGCCCAAGTTCACTGAAATGCTGCCCAGGCCCCTGCGGCAAAACCTGCCTCCAGCCTGTGAATGGTATGGTGTTCCAGTTCCTGCCTCTAGGGGGTATTGTGGGCATATGTTGGGGGTGGGGGGTGGCAACCTATGTGCACGTCTGGGATGCTTGTGAGTTGTGTGATGTGGAGTGCAGAGTGTGTTCTAATCCTCCGCGTCCCTTTGTTTATCTGGCCTTCCTGTTGCTGCGTGTAGCTGCGTGATTGGTGGGTTGCGTTGTGGATGTGCCTGGGGCATTCTGGTTGGCTGCCACACTACGTGCACCATCCCCTGTCCGTTGCATTCCTGTGCAGTTGATCACACACTGTTTTCTCATGAGCTGTGTCCAAACTTGCAGTTCGTACACACCCAATAAGGGTGTTTGGGAGGCAGGGTTATGCAAATGATGAAGGCAGCTCCCCCTCCCCCACTGGCTTTTGGGGTGCGGGAGAACCCCCTGGACAGCATCAGAGGAGGAGAGCAGGGATCATTCCTCCCTGGATAATGCAGATCCTTACAACACTGCAGGAGTCTCATTTCTGCAGCACAACCTTGTTTGTCTGATATCTTCAATTTTCTCTATTGCAGTGAAACCGGATCACTGTCCACCGGATACTGAACAAGATATTAAGAATTTTAATTACTGCAATAAAGATGCTGATTGTAAAGGAAAACAGAAATGCTGCTTTGCTTTTTGGGGTTCGGAATGTCTCGATACACAGAAAGGTAAGGTATTTTGTATCACTGTACAATGCTTAGGTTTGCTATGCTTTTCTATGGTCAATAGCTACTGGTCATGATATTACTGCAATAATAATAATAATAATAATAATAATATTAATAATAATAATAATATAATCTTCTGCCAGGTCTTTTTTAATGTGCAAGAGGTCCGGAGGGTGGCAACATGAAAACGGGCCTTTTTTGCAGTGGCTCCCCATTTGTGGAATGCTCCCCATTTGTGGGATGCTCTCCCCAGGAAAGTTTGCTTGGTGCCTTCATTATACACCTTTAGGCACCAGGCAAAATTGTTCCTCTTTAACCAGGCTTTGGGGTGATTGTCATCCAATGCCCTTTTAAAACATGGTGGGGGGTTTCTTTGGGGGGGGAGGGGTTATTCTGTTGTTTCTGTTTTTATTCTGTGTTTTTATATTGTGAACCGCCCTGAGACCTGCGGGTATAGGGTGGTATGCAAATTTAATGATTAATAATAAAACAATACTAAAGATATTTATGGGACGCAGGTGGCGCGGTGGGTAAAACCTCAGCGCCTAGGACTTGCCGATCGTATGGTCGGCAGTTCGAATCCCTGCGGCGGGGTGAGCTCCTGTCGTTCGGTCCCAGCTCCTGCCCACCTAGCAGTTCGAAAGTATGCCCAGTGCAAGTAGATAAATAGGCACCACTGCAGAGGGAAGGTAAACGGCGTTTCCGTGTGCTGCGCTGGTGCTGGCTCGCCAGAGCAGCTTCGTCACGCTGGCCACGTGACCCGGAAGTGTCTGCGGACAGCGCTGGCCCCTGGCCTCTTAAGCGAGATGGGCGCACAACCTCAGAGTTGGTCACGACTGGCCCGTACGGGCACGGGTACCTTTACCTTTAAGGATATTTATACCCCGCCCTTTCCCCAGCCACACTGGGTGGCTTCCAGCCAAATGTAAAAACATAATAAAATGTTAGACATTCAAATGGCAGAATGCCTCTCCCAACAGTAGATCATAGAATCGTAGAGTCAGGCAGTGAGGGACCCTCAGATAATGCATCCATGAGAGATGGCCATCCAAACTCTGCTTAATAACCTCCAAGAAAGGAGAGTCCACCACTGTCTCAGGGGAGTTTGCTCTGCTGCTGATGTTGGAGTCCATGAGTGGGAAAGGAGTTTTGTGTCTCTTTCCTGCTTCTCGGCCTCATAGGCACATCTGATTGGCCACTTTGCAAGAGATAGAAGGCTGCACTCGATCATACTTGGTCTGATCCAGCATGCTGGGGACCATGCCAGGTCTGTGGACAGCCTTAACCTATCCATTTCAAGAGTGTATGCTTTCTAGTCTGGGGTCCCGAAGGTCAGTAACTTGAGGAGGCAGCATGAGCCAGAGACGGAGCTCAGGGCATGAAACACGGCTGGCAGATAGTGCTTCACAGCTGGCAAAGCAAGAGCCGAATACCAGGCAAAGCTGGTCCAGAGCATTCATATATACCTGGAGGAGCATCTCCACCCTCATCATTCTGCCCAGACACTGAGGTCCATCTCTGAGGGCCTTCTGGTGGTTCCCTCACTGCAAGATGTGAGGTTATAGGGAACCAGGCAGAGGGCCTTCTCGGTAGTGGCATCCGCCCTGTGGAACACCCTCCCATCAGATGTCAAGGAAATAAACAACTATCTGACTTTTGGAAGACATCTGAAGACAGCCGTTTAGGGAAGTTTTTAATGTTTGATGTTTTATCATGTTTTTTATATTCTGTTGGGAGCCGCCCAGAGCGGCTTGGGAAACCTAGCCAGATGGGCGGGGATGGCTCCTGTGGACCAATCAGACTGCTGCATTCTGGAGCCTATTGTTCTAGGACCAATCAGGCTATTGCATTCTGAATCCTATTGTTCTAGGACCAATCAGACTGCTGCATTTTGGATCCTATTCCACTCAGCACATAACACCTATGCAATCCAGTTTACAGGCCAACATGATTCTTGGTTGGTTAGCCTCTGTTAGGCACGCCCAACTCCCAAGAGACTGTGATCTACTCCCAGTATTAAAAAAAACTGGCAGTGATCTACCCATTGTCATTGGAGGAGGAGGAGATTTATTTAGGGGGCAGAGGCAAAAGAAGTTGTTGAGCTTTTTTGGGGGGGGACAGAGTTGCTGAGCTTCTTTTAGTAGGGGGGAAGGCTATCTATCAACTACAACACAGACAAACGCAAAAAACAACAAGGCCAACTAACGTCGGCAGAAGGCTATAAAACATTCATTGTACATTGCTTTTAATCCTGCAATCGATAAGGATCCCGCGATCGGCCATGGTTGACCGGGGATCTACTTGTCGATTGTGGTCGACCGGTTGGACATCGCTGTGTTCAGTGTTCACAATGATCATATCAGGGTCTGGAGTGTGACAATCATATCAAAGGAATGTGGATCATTGTCCACATTTCTCAGCACTCTGCTCACACAGTGGATAAGCAGATGCTCACAGGAAGCCCACTTGTGTTCCTTGTTGTTGTTGTTGTTTAGTCGTTTAGTCGTGTCCGACTCACCAGAGCACGCCAGGCCCTCCTGTCTTTCACTGCCTCCCGCAGTTTGGTCAAACTCATGCTGGTAGCTTCGAGAACACTGTCCAACCATCTCATCCTCTGTCGTCCCCTTCTCCTTGGGCCCTCCATCTTTCCCAACATCAGGGTCTTTTCCAGGGAGTCTTCTCTTCTCATGAGGTGGCCAAAGTATTGGAGTCTCAGCTTCAGGATCTGTCCTTTCAGTGAGCACTCAGGGCTGATTTCCTTCAGAATGGATAGGTTTGATCTTCTTGCAGTCCATGGGACTCTCAAGAGTCTCCTCCAGCACCATAATTCAAAAGCATCAATTCTTCAGCGATCAGCCTTCTTTATGGTCCAGCTCTCACTTCCATACATCACTACTGGGAAAACCATAGCTTTAACTATACGGACCTTTGTTGGCAAGGTGATGTCTCTGCTTTTTAAGATGCTCTCTAGGTTTGTCATTGCTTTTCTCCCAAGAAGCAGGCGTCTTTTAATTTCGTGGCTGGGCCTCCTGCCTCTTATCCTCTGCGATCCCAGACCCTCAAAGTGTCCCTATCTTCCAGGAAAGTCCTGGATTTACAGAAGCTGTCCCCATTTCTGATTTGATCCCGGAATGTCCCTCTTTCCCTTAGGACGTCCCTATTTTCATCAGAGAAATAATGGAGGATATGGAGTTATGCAACCCCCAAGCCATCTTACAGCAGCCCTGTATAGGGAAGGTTTTGGGGTTTTTTTAAAAAAAATGTTTAGTGTTCTATTATGTTTTTATATGTGTTGAAAGTAGCCCAGAGTGGCTGGGCAACCCAGTCAGATGATTGGGGTGGAAATAGTAAAATTATTATTATGGAATAGGATGTCCCTATTTTCATCGGGGAAATGTTTGAGGCTATGCAATCCCTTCATCTATGAGCAGGTTGCATTTATGCCAGTGGCGTAGCGTGGGGGGTGCAGGGGGGGCCGGCCGCACCGGGCGCAACATCTGGGGTTAGGGCAAATCCACAGGTTAGGGGGCGCAAATCCACAGGTTAGGGGGCACAAATCCACGGGTTAGGGGGCGCAAATTACTTGCCTTGCCCCGGGTGCTGACAACCCACGCTACGCCACTGATTTATGCACAAAGAAACCATATACTGTATCATAAAGGTGAAATAAAAAAAATTAAGGTCTTACATTTATATATAAAAGATAAATGTTCATAACTGCATATATAAACCACATGTCTGAAACCCCACAGAAAAAGTCCTGAAACCATTTTGTCCCTCCCAAATTGACCTCAAACATTTCTCTGCAAGGTTGAAGAAACATGGAAAAGCCTCCCCATTGTCTTTTTGTTCACAAATCCTGTCCTAAGGCTTTGTCTGTGTATGAATAGGGTGAGCCTGTGACCTGGCTCAGGAACTAAGCATTTGTCATTACAAAAGACTGGCCAGGCTCCCCATGGTATCCAATCAAGTGACCATTAACAGGTAACCTGCCAGACAGGAGATAAACAACGCACTCAGATTTCTGTTGTAGACCGCCTTTTCTGTGATGTAGATATGATGTTTGTGGGTGGTGGTCTTGGGTTACACCCCTTCTGTGATGTATGTATGATGTATGGAGGGGTGGTCTTGAGCTCCAGGGAAGGCAATTTAAAATGTCTGTATAAGGCCACGCCCACTTTTGTTCTGGGTCTTCCTCCTTTCCTGCGCGTGAGGGGAGCACCCTGTTGCAACAGTTTCAATAAAGATCAGGTTTACTAGCTGCTTTGCTTCTCAGTATTCTCTGGTTGGCCTCTGTTATTTTCTCCTACCGAAGGAGAACCTACAAAGGACTCTATAAGGGATCTTGTGTCCCCCATAAGGGAATCAGGGCATCACAGTCCCTGTTATGCCTCATTGTCCCAAAAGGGAGCACAGACCCTGGTCAACATGCCTGCCACCCCTGAAACCTTGCACCTCTCAGGGAGATTGGGGTGGTGTGTTACAATATGTTGGGTAGATACCTGTGCCTGAGCCAGTTGTTTCGAAGTGGGCGTCTGAAAAGCTAAGTCAAATAGATACAGCAAGAGGAAGTTCTAAGACTCACTGACAAACAACTATACAATATTTCAGGTAGGAGGGTTTGGACAGCTCACCAAGTTGCCACCAGAGGGAAGTATGGTGCTAAAATCTATTAACATCTTGCACAAACTTTAATTGTCCAGAGTTTTATAGTTTGGGAAACACCACTTTAGAGGTCCCATTTTCTGAGTAGTGTAGGTGTGTCTCATTTTATTAAGTGCAGGCACAGTTCAAGGCCAGTGATTGTGCCCTTGGTGCTCACATGCCATTATTTTTAGATCGAGGAACAGTATTCTAATCATGTCTGGGTTGAGCTAGAAACTGTAGCTTTGAGCACTTACCTTTCAGCAGATATATTACTGCATGAAACAAAAAGAAGACAGTTCTACACACACACCCCTCCCAGGGAGCCTTTGATGTTCATTTCTGGGCCTGAACCCAACAATGTTTGTCAGCAGCAAAGGTC